AGTATAATATACATAATGTGACTGTAGACGACCTTGGTTTATTGGAAACGTGATAAACCCATAGCATATGCCCCTGTCTCCCGGCTGGTCAGCCATAGCATCCCTCTGAGTTTGCCGATTGGTGTTTGAGGTCATAGCTCTAGAGTTCTTCCATATTTTAAGGTGTTTCTCTTCTTTTCTGTTTCTTTTCTTTCTCCTATGTGTTTAAAAGATTAAGAAAACAGAATTTTTTTAAAATCTTATCCTGGTGGAGAGCATGTCTATGCTTTGACTAGTTCGATTCTAGTCTAAGATCTTGACAATCGTATTTTAATTTTTTTGAGGGGAAATTTTTTTTTTAGGGGATGAATATTGATAATTATCCCTTTATCGAAATTTATCTCATGATGATTAATTATGATAATTATCAATATCGTTAATTAACATGATAATTAATTACGATAATTATCAATATTGCAAATTGTCTGCACTTAACTTATTTAATTTTGAGGTTATTATTGATAATTATCAATATAGTAAATTGTCTGCATTTAACCACAGATCAATAATTATCGATATTTATTTCCTAAAAATTCCTCGATGATAATATACAATAATTTACATTTTAGGTTGAAGCAACAATTGCTAGGTAAATAGGATTAAACTAGATTATTTTTATTAATGATAATTTTGAGCGCTTAATAAGAATTTATTCATTCATTGATTTTTTTACATCCAGTATGAATTTTTAATAATAGCGTTTGAATGACAAATGACAAGTGACGTTCATTTCAAAAAAAAAAAAAAATGGATGAGTTTCAGTCATAATCATTTGTCAATTTATTCGTTTATCACATGATTTAATATAATGTAGGCCATAATTATAGTGCTACCAACATTAATCCCAAACTCAGCATTTGATGGCGTCATTTGTTCATTTGTTCGTTTCAATTCATTTGTCGAACATCGTTCTTCATCAGATCATTTATTGTATACATGTTTATATAACTTGTACTTATAAAAATACGTTGAATTAAAACGAGATATTTATTAACTTAAAATTATAATATAATTTTGACATTATATTTATATAATTTGTTTATATAACTTGTACTTATAAGAAATACGTTAAATTAAAACGAAATATTTATTAACTTAATTAAAATTATAATTTGACATGAATTCTTATTAAAAAAATTTTTTATTAAATATAAATCAAACAACATAAAAATCATTTGAAACATCTTTGAAAAATAACGTCATAACAGATAACTTATTTTGATTTTAATCACAATAGTTAATCACATTATTTTCAGCCCTCAAAGATTGATTTATCAAATATTCCCATTCTTTTTTTTTTTCTTTTTTTTGGAATTATAATTTTATTTTTATTACTATAGTAATTTTTTCGTTTTGAAATCCTTCGTGGTCGATACCTCTATTTCCACATATCTAAAAAATGTTGATTAAAGAAGAAAAAAAAGTCGCAATTAAAAAAGAGAAGGATGTGATTAGACAAGAAATGGACACGATTAAAAAAAAGAAGGATGTGATTAAACAAGAAAAGGATGTGATTAAAAAAAAGAACTCAATTAAAAAAAAGAAGGACGTGATTAAACAAGAGAAGGACGTGATTAAAAAAGAAAAGGACGTGATTATTAAACAAGAGAAGGATGTGATTAAACAAGAAAAGGACGTGGTTATTAAACAAGAAAAGGACGTGATTATTAAACAAGAAAAGGACGTGGTTATTAAACAAGAAGAGAACGAAGATTCCTTTGAGGTATTGTATAAAACTAAATATATTTAATAAATTGTAAAAAAAAATTAACGTTAATAATTAAATCAATATAAAGTTCAACTCATCCACCGAAGAATCAACCAATAAAAAACGCAAAAAGTCTAGTAATAAAAAATCTCTTAATAAAAGACCGAAATCATTTTGGACTAAGGAAGAGGATCAGGCGTTATTCGATGCAGTCACATCATTTGTTAATGGGAGATGGAAAGACGTGTGTTCAAAAGATTCTTCTCTTACAGAACGTGGACCAAGAATGGTTTATCAAAGATGGAATACTAAAAGCAAATATTTCTTAGGAGCTAATGTTGGAAAATAATTTTGAGCCAATAATTTTTGTAACGTGATCTTTCTACCGCAGTAAGAATTTTTTTTTTAATATTTGAATCAAGTGATGATCATAATATCATCGTAAATAATAATAAAAGTAAAATAAAATTTAGTAATTATTCTTTCAATAAACGGAATTTCTATTTTCTTACCCCAATTCTTTAAAAAATGATCTATTATAAATTTTTTTAGTTTAGGCGTCAATATTCTTTTTTAAGATCAAATATAATCATCTTTATTTCACACCTAAAAATTGGCTTTACCTAAAGTAGTAGGATATGATTTAGTGGTAAAATAATATATCATAGTGAAAATGATAACAAATATTTATGTAATTACGCCATTAAAAAAAGAGATTTCTCGTACCTAATATCTAAGAAAACTTTTCTTATCTTAGAACTTTAGAATTATTTACGCTATTTACGCCATAAAGATTCGTTCAATCGAACAATCATAACTTTTTTATCAAGATCAATAAGAAATTTTTACATCACACGATACTAAACATTAATACTAAACCTAATCAGATTACCCAGAATTAGTTACAAACATTTAAAATTGAGATTTGTTTTTTTTTACCAAATAAGAATTAAAGAGTATTATGGCGTTATATTGTGTAATGGCGTCTTTTAAAATGTGGCGTGATGATTTATTAGCATTATATTATATTTTTTTTTTAAAAAAAAATAAATTATATGAAAGTAAAAAAAATTGATATATGATTAAAAATTCTCACCTTTTTTTAAAAGATCTAATATACAAGAAAATTGATATATTATAAAAAACAAACTAACTCTGAATAAATTTCAAACCACACGTGTGAAAATGAATGATCATTTGTGTAATTGCGTCATTATGTTTGTGCAGAACTATGAGTAATCTCAGATCTACAACTTTAAAAAAAAAAAAAATGGATATATATAAACATCAAACAAATTTGTTAAAAATTATGAAAATCTTATGAAATCACTGAATGTGTCGTAAGATTTTTGAAATGAAATCAGATTTCATCATCATTAAAAAAAAATAAAAATAGTAAAATCGAAATATGATGAAAAAATCATTCATACTATGATCAAAAGTGTGATTGTTTCCAAAGTTGTTTTAAGTTTCATCATTCCACAATCCCCTTTGCGTAATAGTTTCAAAGTAGTTCTAGTAGATTTACATTGGCGTAAATTAGATGAAAGATACAAACAATAAGTTATAATACAATTGTTTAAATTTTTTAGTTACCTTTTGAATTTGTGTATTTTGTTTACGCCTTCTAAATCATGCGTGGGCTCAAAATTCCAAAATTCGGTATCAATGGGAAGTATATTTCCTATATTGGCTTACGAAAAAAAAAACACCAAGTTATTACACAAAAATTACGCAAAAGTAATATCACAAATAAAGAAAATAACGAAATAATTTTAACGAAAAAAAGAAAAAGTATTTTTATTATTATTATCTGGAATTTTTTTTTAAGAAAAAAATAAAAATAACGCTCACAGAATTATTATATTATAAATCTAAAAAAAAAACATATTCTTATAAAGCTGAACATTTTTTTTTTATTGCTAAAGTAAAATTAATTAGCGGAATTAAATGAGCTAGTCAAAAATTATTCCCTGGATAATAAATGCAACGACTTTTTAATTATCAATACAAAAAAAAAAAAAAAAAA